TACTTAGATTGACCTTGGGTCCCATCATGCATTCATATTATACATGAAAAATTGTTTTATATAAAATATTGACTAAGTATAAAAAATGGTTTTTCATAATAATCATTTTCTAGCTACTTTTATTCCTTAGACATCAAATAAGAAAACGTAATTTTATGAGATTTTATTATGAAGTATATATTGACTTAATGAGCCATCATTTTTAGCCTAAATCATATTTTGCACTAAAATCAATTTTTCATATTTTGATTTGTTGGGAATTTGATTTTCTAGTATTTTTATTTGAATCCAAATGGGGGTACTTCCTTATTTATATTGTAAACTTAAGTAAATTGAGTAATATAAAAATAAATTAAAGTAAAAGAACAAAGACATTTACTTAAATGCTGAAAATGGAAATAAGGTAATCTATACGCCTGAAGTGCACTACTACCAGCTGAGCAAATAGGCAATTTGAAGCACTTGCAAATGGTTTTTCCGATGAGGAAAAGTGCAGCTGCTCCTCCTTGCACCTTAATAGGTCTGCCACTGCCCCAACCCCACGTCCCTCTACCAAAAAAAAAAAAAAAAAAAAAAAAAAAAAAAAAAAAAAAACCCCCACCCCCCACGAGAAACAATAATAATAAAAAATTATTGTATAGTACAGCAAAGCGCAAGCCTTGCATCAAAAGTTGTTTCATTTTTCACCAATGGGGAGTCATTCTATAGTGAAGGCCTTATATATGGCTGAGGCCCTATTTCTTAACCGTTTGATCAAGCTAACCAATCTAACGGCTACTAATTTACTTCAACGGTTTAGAGATAGGGTCTTGCCTAAAGACCATCTATAAGGCCCTGACAATATAATTCTGGCACAGATGAGATGTTAGTTGGATTGGCCCTCGTCTCTCTCCTTTCTCCCCCATCCACCTCTAGCCCCTAGCCCCCTGCCCCAAGTTCCAACCCAACCTCCAGTATCCCCCATCCCCAACCCACTCTCTCCCCCCCTCTCTCTCCCCCTCACACACACAGCACCAAATCCCATACCCAGACTCTAAGAATTGGGTTAAGTTGAAGCCATGAACGCTGCTGCTGATGAGCATGGGATGACAAGGCAGCAACTAGGCAAAACAAAAGAAAAGAACTGGTTTTTTCTTGTTAATATCTGAAACTGGTTACCGCCTCCTACTCCAGTTTTTTCCTTATGTTTCTTGAATTTTAAAATACAAGGAAAATACATATATGCCCGACTGCACCGGTGAGCCACTGTACCCAAAAAAAAGGAGACGGTGAAAATGCTGCTACTAGAAATGAGGGATCCGAAACTTATTGGCCAAGCTGGCCAAGATACTCCCCAATCTACCACTTCCACTAGGTCCTTCTCCATCAATGTTGCTACTGGACTGGGTCACTATTTGGTTGAGCTCTTCCGCATCTTGCTCGTATACCAAACGGGCGCCACACCTCTTCACCAAGCAGGAGCCTGAGCTTTTGAAAGAAAATATTAACTGATCGCAACTGCTGTTTTGCCACTCTGTACCAAAGCTTATATCACGAGACACATAGAATAGCCAAAGATGATCTGACTTGGGCTGGACATCAGTTGATAATAGAGGTGCAGGGTACTCTTCTTTTCCGTTGACTTCCAAAACACAAGAAAGATCCCACCCACAGCCGAAAACTTGAAAAACAGCGCACAGAGCATATCCCATCCACTTAGTATCACGCCAATGCGGTGTTAGCTCAACAGTTGTTGAAGATCCCATTCTTTGATGAGGGAACCACCAAGGAATTTCACTTCCAGGAATTACAATTTCATATCTATCTCCTGCAGCATAAGAGACTCTCTGTACAGGCGAAACTGTGATGTTAAATAATGAGAGAGAGAGAGAGAGAGAGAGAGAGAGAGAGAGAGAGAGAGCACCTTAAGGTATCTTTGGAGCATAGTACATGTTACATGATCGTAGCTTTCTTTCCCAACCATTCCAAAGCAATTGATGAAATTGAAACCTGACGAATTCACTCTGTCCAAATTCGATGGAGATTGCAGCAATTCTAGTGAAGTACAACCATCTGCAGTTACTTCTAAATTTACTTCTGATGAAAGGACTGGAAGGTGTCGAAGCCTCTTGCAACGACTCAAGTATAAATTCTCAAGCTTAGAAAGTTGGCCAATGCTTGTAGGAAGACTAAGAAAATTGTTTCCACTTAAGTTCAATGATACTAAAGAGGGCAAGCAACCAATATCACTGGGGATTGCTCCTTCCAAAAGATTTCCGTCACTTAAATCTAATTCCTTTAAAGAAAAGAGCCCTGATAGAGGAGGCAAGAATGGCCTCATAGGCTGAAGGCTCTTCATTGGAAATACTTTAAAAAGAAGGGACATATACCATGATTGCTGTGACAGCCCTTTGGGTCCACGAAAAAAAAAAGATTCAAGGTTTCCCAAAAGGCCAAAGGAAGACGGCCATTCTTCAGCAGTTCCGCCCATTCCCCGTTTCCTTTTAGAGCTTGTTGCCATTTTGGCAAGTTTTGGGCACCCAGAAACATTAAGAAATTTAAGAGACTGCAACTTGCCAATCGTACTCGGAAGACAATTCAGATTGATGCAATCTCTCAAATCCAATGAAGAAAGGCTAGTCAAATGTTCAATTGATGAAGGTATACTTTCAATAGCAGTCCCATCTAAAGAAAGCTTCCGTAAATGCTCCATAGGTTCCACAAAATTAGAAATCTTTTTAACTCTTGAGCAACCAGAAAGAATAAGAACTTCAAGGCATTCCATTTCAATCTCATCTGGAAGAAGCTCAAGACTTTTGCAATCTTTAAGATTCAAGAAAGTAAGCTTTTTTAGAACTCCTACGGAAAAGTGAATCTCAACTAGACTTTCGCATCCCTCAAGATCTAATCTCTCAAGATTTTGGAACCCTTCGAAATCTGGGGTTTTAGTCAAACTTTTTGAATGACTAAGTTTGATCACTTTCAACTTTTCAAAATTCTGTAAAAGTTACAAGAAGTGTAAAATAATTAAATTCAGAACTAGTATATGTTTACTCAGAGAAAATAAATAGATCATATTGTAGTTATAGACTTATACCTTTGTTCCAGTCCAAAGTTGTTCAATGCTACTATGACACATGTTGAGTTCAACAAGATTACTCGGTTCGAAATCTAGAGGGAGAGAATTTAAAGGGAAACCTTTCCACTTCAGAAATCTCAACGAATTAGGAAGACATCTGAGACGTTTCGGAAGGTGCACATTATGAAGTTTAAGCAATCTAAGATTAAACATCTTAGAAAAAGCTTCAGGATGGCATTGTCCCTCTTTAGATTCCAGCTTCTCTAGGACAATGCCTTCAACTGCTGGTGTCCCCTAATAACCAAGAATGAAGAACAAGTGAGTTGGCATAATAGGAAAAAAAACAGAATACATGATCCAAACATTATAAGGAAAAACAGAGTAGTTAAATCCATAGTCTGTTTCAAACTCTGTTTTTTGCATGATTCATGATGTATCCATGTAAGGACATACCGTATTTTTGCTCAAAACATGAAAGATGTCCCCAGAAAGCCACAGCCTGCTATGTTCACCAGGCTCTTGAGATTTCTGACGAATAATTGCTCGACCCAATTCTTGTAACAAATCATGCATCCACACCATGTTATGTGAAATTGTTATTAGTGACCTCTTCACAAGGACATCTATGTCAATACCTGGATGAAAGCCACAACTCTCTAGTATTTCAACTACTCGGTCTTTGTACTTTCCTTTAAAGAAACATGAGATATCAAGGAAAATATCTTTCTCCTGCTTATCTAATCCCTCGTAACCTACATTAAGTGGATTCATAATTTCTCGATTTAAATCATCCTCCATTTTACGCAATTGACTGCTTAATGCATCTTCACCTCTTTCATGCACAAGAGATCCCCAGACTTCAAGAGCTAATGGATGACCATTGGCATAATTCACATAACGTTTAGACAGATCCATATGACTTGCTAGCGGATAATCTGTTTTAAAGGCTCTCAAGCTAAAAAGTTTAAGAGCATCATTGTCATTTAGCCCCTGCACCTCATATCTTCTTTCTACACCATGTGAAATTAGCAAGTGTTCATTTGTAGTCGTAATAATGATTCTACTCCCTTGACCAAACCAAGTTGGGCTCCCACACAACTTTTTTAACTGACTCTTATCATCCACATCATCAAGAATGAGAAGAACCTTTCTTCCCCTGAAGAAATGTCTCATTCTGGCTTCTTCATCACTGTTCCAGTCTTCTATATTTCTATGCATGAGGTTATTGGAAAGCTTTCTCTGTAGATCGTCAAGACCATGTGCTTTAGAAACTTCTCTAACTCTTTCGCGAAAGCTTTTGACTTCAAATTTATGAACAATCCTCTCATAAGCTTTTCTGGCAATGGTTGTCTTACCTATCCCACTCATCCCCCATATCCCTATAAAGTGAACATCATTTGACTCTGGATCTAAAAGCAAATCTAGTTCCTTCAATTTTGAATCAATTCCAACCAGTTTTTCTGCAGGCTCCAATGATATAGGGCCTACTTCAATTCGTACCTTTTCAACAATTTCTTTGATGAGATGTGGTTCATATCTACAAGAAGAAAAGACAAGTTTCAAGGCATGACCTAAAAGAGAAGGACATTCTTCGGTTTTCGTTATGCCCATTATAATGATCTTGATGAATGTTTTCATGAAATCTACGAACTATTTTTGTAATACGTTTTTTATGCATCAGGTTTTAGCAACATTCAATGGAATTCGGGCTTGTCCAATATAGATCCATACATTTTCTATTTCCTAGACATATACCCATCACTCTATAAATCTATGTGTAAAACCCAATTTCAAATTTAAATGACCAGTAGAATATAAGAGGTCGTAGTATTTCTATGTTTTTACATCGTTGCCACTAAACTTCATATTTTATTTATAATTTATTTCAAGCATTTCATTAACTGTCATAATTGTAATTAATATACTCCCTATTAATAGCATATCAATCACCCCATTTCTTATAGTTGTCATTCCCTCTCACATCTCGCCCCCTAAAATTGCAAACAAACAAAAAAATCTGTAAATTACATATCCAATAATGTACTTATAAAAATTATAATATAAATATATACATATAAAATATAGGTATCCAATAAATTACATATCCAATAATGTACCTATGAAAAATAGGTACATTATTAGAGGAAAAAAATAGGTAAGTTATTTGGAGAGAGAAAATAGGTTCATTTAAAAAAATTACTTTTAATAAAACAAATAATAGGTACTTTATTCAGAGAAAAAAGGCTATATTATTTATAGAAAAAAATAAATTACATTATTTAGATAAAAAATAGGTACATTATTTAGATAAATAATAGGTACTTTATTCGTAGTAGGTATATTATTCAAATGGTAGGTACATTGGATGACATATAATACCTAAATCCTAATTGTAAGTACATTAAAATTAATGTAGGTATATTGGATGTCGTATAATGTAGGTATATTGGAATAGATAATTATGTACACTTTTCATACTAGGTAAATTATATTTTTCATAAAACAAACAAGTAATAGGTACATTATTTTTTCAACATAATTAGTATGTATAGTTTTATTCATAAACAATTATAAAGTGAATTATTAGTCATGTATAATTCATAAAAAGAAAATAACATAAACATTTTATTAAACAAACCGATTACCCAAATTTGAATTTATTGTTAAATTTTTTTGAAAAATGTTTCAAAATTAATTCCTACATCCATTACAACCATTTGGAGATCTTTCCAAATTCAACATCTGTCATTATATACAATTCAATTAAAAACTGTTTCCATATTGATTCCTACATTAATATACAAAATGCAATAATGTCTTAGTTTGGGGTATTTTTGGAATCTAAAAAGTACAATAAATCAGATTTTATGCTTAATTAGGTAACTTGCTGAGTTGAATCCTAGTCATGGGTTTTTACTTATACAAATTGGGTATTATTTATAGGAACAAAAAGTGAAGGGTTTTAGGTACGGCAAATTGAATTTGAATGGTGTAGGCCAAATTTACTAAAGTAAGAATGAAGGGTCAATTTGTTCATTCGTAAAAAGTTTTGAATTGAGGGAAAGAAACAAGTAACACCAACCAACCTATTCTTTGAAGTCCACCCTTTGATTTTTGCCGCTATTCTTAAAGCAGCTCTCCATCGTTCCACCATCTCCTTTTCATCCTTGCACCTTTGCTCAAGTTCAGTGAAGGCTTCCCCAAAGTTCCCCGATTGCTTCCCAACATCGGCGGGCTCCACAGAGTGAAAAATTGGCAGAACTGCCCCTCTCTTTTCCATGCATTCAAGAATCTTCAAAAGTTCATTCATGCACCATTTTGAAGAAGCGTATTTTGGAGACATCACAACGATTGCAAGTCTCGACTGTTCAATCGCTGCGAAGAGTTCAGCAACCGGTCTTCCTATTTCAAGGTCCTTTTCATCCAAGAAAATTTTTGTAATTCCTTGCTCTAGCAATCTTTCATGTAAATAAGCTGTAAAATTGTAGCGTGTATCTTCACCCCTAAAACTCAAAAATACATCATATTTCCACGGAAGATCTAGAGCAACAGATGAACTGGCAGCCAAAGAGCTCGATGACATTGGCTTGGACTTGGAGACTAGCTTTGTGCCAATCAATTGGAGATGGTATGAAAGGATATCACACTAACTTCACACGCAATTGAAGGAGAAAATTTAACAACAACAAAATGACTCAGTCAGAAAAAGCACACAAAATGATAAATGGGGAAAAAATACCGAAACACTTTGTCCACAAATGTAAACAAGTCATGAGACAGACAGCTCTGTAAGAAAAATTACGCGTTTGACGCCTGACCTGGGAAACAAGAACTCACGCCTGGGACTTTTGTTTTTGTTTTTTTTGCCAATAGTTCTCTTTCTTTTTTTGTTGAAATTGGTATGTTTATTTTTATTTTTTAAATATAATTCAATAATTGCTTAAATTACCTTTAGTAATAGGAGTTAGTTTCGATTAATATTGGCTGATTTTCTGAACTGATGTATTTGCTGCATTTAAAGCCCACCAACGTCTCTTTTGTAGTATATTAGTCTCTCCGTACGCTCTTCCGCACCTACGGGAGGCATTTTTTTATAAAAAAAATTAAATTTATTTTAGAATTAAAAATAATAATGGGTAGTTGTGTTCATAAAAATAGGATTCATTATCTGATTTTTCTTTTAATTTTAATTTTTTTTAATATGAAAATGTGTGAATTTACCATATTATCCTTATTTAATTATTAATTCTTAATTCTTAATGTTTGGATTAACGAAAGGCATTTTCTGGTATTTTGAATGTTTCACCTCTTTTGTTTTATATTTGTAGTATATTATGTACATATATCTGATATAGTTGTTTCCCTCTTTTCGGCCGGGGCGGCCAACGGAAGGAACATTTGGTCATTCTTCTTTTTTGAGTGCGAGGTGTGCCACCACCAAGCCCCAAATTTAGGCTTGAATAGAATGTGAGTAGATGGATGTGTTGTGTCCGAGATCTGACTTTAATCAAACGATTGTTCGACCGAGCAAGGAACCTCATCACGGCCTAGGTTCTTTCACTACCTCGGGGTCAAGGCTTTATGTGAGCGACCAAATGATGTGGAATGGGTGGAGATGAAGATTGAAAGTGAAATTTAATGAAACCAAGAATAAGTGCGTAAAGTAAAGGTGCTTAAACTTAAATATAATTTAAAGACAAATGCGTAAAGTAAAGTGCGAAAGATAAATAATATAAAGACGAGAATTAAAGGGCAATTAAATGAATCAAAGCGATAAATAAAGCAAGAACGAAATGAAAGCAATAAGAACGATAAAGTAAAATGAACTTGAAATTAAACTTAATTGAAGTGCGATAACAATGAAAAGTAAAGCAATTGAAATAAACTTGAATTTAAATGACAAGAAAATATAAATTGAACGATAATTTAAACTTACACTAAGAAAAGGAAGAACTCGCTACACTAGGTGCATGAAAAGTAAAATCTTAAGTCTAGGAAAAGAAAAGTGTGAGACGAAAAATAGGTTTATCTATCTGATGTTGTGTCTCTTCTACCTTCGTTTGGTGAGGTTTATATAGGACATCCGTCAGCCCATGGGCTGGACATTGAATGGCCAAATGTCAACTCTTTTAAAACTCTTTCCTTTTGAAGCCCCTTGAATACATGGGATCACATTGGTGGAAATATTCTGATTACTTGAGTCTCTCATGTTTCCTTGTGAGCCCTCCATCACATGCACATTGACCTCCTGAAATCTTGGGCCTTGACCTCCGAGATTTCACCTTGACATCTAGTGGAACCTCGTGCCCCTTGAGTTTTTAGAATTCTAGAGCTAGCTAACCATCTGCCGACCATCCTCCAAGGTGGGTGGTATGGGAGCTCCAAATATTTGGATGTTGGGCTTGGCTCTTCGTTGGACTGTATTCAAATATTCGAATATTGGGAACTCGGCAGACATACCTCTCACCGAACTTCAATTCCCCTAGCCCAACTTTTCTTGCAAGGTGTTGAGAGGAGGGCGCCAAGGTGAGGAAGGAGAAAATTCACCCTAGCCCAGCTTTTTGTAAGAGGAGTAGCCGACCAAGGTATTCAAGGAGTGCCCGGCCCAACTTTTTGAGAAGTAAGTATTCGGCCACTTTTGTAAGGATATACCCGGCTACTTTTGCAAGGATATGTCAGACCACTTTTGCAAAGAAAAGCGTCCGACCATATTTTTGAGAAGGCATCACGGCCTTTGAAGAAAACATCTCAGCCACATTTTTTAGAAGGCACCATGGCCTTTGAAGAAAAGACATCGGCCATCTTTTTGAGAAAGCACTTTGGCCGCTAGGAATTTTCCACCGCTTGGAATTCTTCGGCCGCTAGGAATTCTCCGGCAATTAGGAATTCTCGGCCGTTATGAATTCTTTGGCCGCTAGGAATTCTTCATTGGCAAATTGGTTGAATTTTGACCACCCCTAAACAATAGCTAGAAGAGAAAAACACATAACAGTTGCTGCCTTCTTCCTCTTCATCTCATGAAATTCTACCTTTCTCTTATTTATTAAACTAAGTTTTCTGAACAGCATAGAAAGGCGTTTGTATTCAGGTCTTTCCTAAGTGCAAGGAAGAACCTACACATAAGAGATTCTAGGGTTGTTTTATCTTGGGGACATAATGGCCTTTTCTGAACTTCTTGCACAAATTGGGCAAAGCTTTGAAACATTTTAAAGTTAGCAACTTTGTACGCAACTCATCCCAAGAATTGGTCACAGCTTCACATTGAATTTTTTTTCCGGATAATATTGTTTTTTTAATTTTTTCTGCTTCAACATTTTTTGATTTCTTTTTGTTTTCTGGGTTAGAAAATGAATCTTCATTGAAGCCCAAAAGAACGGCAACAAGAAACTGAGCAACATGCCCAACAAAGGAGAGCCCACTCTGCCTATAAGAACAAGAAGCAAGTCGATTATGTTTCCTTACAAAATTCAATAGTGAGGATACATGATTTATCAATGAGATTAAAGAGATCTAACAAAAAGACAATGGACATAGTTTTTTTTTTTTTTTTTTTTTGGGGGATATATTTTATTAGAACATTTATAGAAAGTATATAGAGGAAAAGGATGAAAATATCTGAAACCAACGTGAAAGCTAGGAACAATAGTTGGTAATCTTAAAAAGCTCGCGGCCTGAACTAATAAAGGAAAATCCCGTCAAGGAAAAAGAGTGCCACTATAAAGTTTTCTCATCAACAACAACCAACGAGCAAAACTTGGGCCAATGGACAATGAACGAGTAGCAAGACCAACTGCAACGATTGGGATAAATTGAAAGAGCTTCAACTACAACATCACAACCAACCGGTAACTGCTTCCAAAAATGTCTTGTAACTGCTACATTGTCTACAAAAGGCGGCCACTATGGTTCTCCAAGATTAATGAACAAATGAATGATCCTAGCAATCAACACCACAAACAAAATCGTGAGCAATATGAGGGAGGCTGAGATCGTATTGAAAATACCTGCAGGATGACTCAAAATGCCTAGAGGAGGGTGAATAGGCCAATTTAAGATTCTAATCAAATAAATAAAAATAAACTTTGGTAGCAGGATTGATATGGCTTATCAATCCTGTAACGTGCTGGGCATAAAATAAAAGAACACGTAGAGAATTATTTTACGTGGTAAAACCCCACCTCTGGGGAAAATCCACGGAACTCCTCAGTCCAACACAAATCCACTATAGAACGATGATTACAAGAAGTACTCCCCCTTTGGCATTTCCTAGACAAAACACCTATTACAACTCAAAAGAAATTACATGGGATTTAACAAATGAATTCTTATTCTAAGCTTGAAGCCCTGAATCCCTGCACATTATGAAACAACAAAACCAGTGAAGCATGTGGGAGAAGAAATGTAATTCAAAGCATAATTACAACACAACTCCCCCTTAATTCCATAACACAATCTCTCTCCCCCTTTTTGTCAGGAAATCCAAAGGGCAAAGAATGAACATAAGGGAGCATATATAAGAGGGAAAGAAAAATAAAAAAATAAAAAAATCAGATTGCATTCCCAACATATAAAGACATAGAGAATAACCAATAAAGCATGTAAGAGGCTTTATCTTGAAAACAAACAGAAAATTCTTTCTTCTTTTTTTTTTTTTTTTTTTTTTTTTTTGGGATAAGCGACAGGAAAATAGAGAACTAAAAAGAATAATGAGAAGTTGTTAAGAACCAAAACATACAAAAACAAAAGCAATACACTCAAGACAGAAAGCTCAAAACAATCAAGACATAAAACATACTGTAGATGCAGACCCAAAGTTCTCTTGAAAATATAATTATTTTCCATTCATAAACATGCCAAGTTTGTGAGTAAAGAATGAAAGAAGCAACAAACCCTTTGCTGTCTTGAACGCATGTGAAGCAAAGCATGTCAGGGACAAACACACGACAGCACACGAGACTCACAAACTCACAGAGAACAGTAGAGGCATACCACAGTCATGGTGAAAGATAAAAAGGCATCAAATGAGTCTACCATCAAGGAGCAAATGTGTTAAATGAACTCTTTTTCAATTAAGCACAAAAAATATGTCCACACAAGACGAATCCCACCAAAGATTGCACAAACACTAAGTGCATAGTAAGTATAAGAAGATCAATTTATATATATATTTTTTAATACGAATTTTGTGGCTCACTTTATCTAGCTTTCGACATGATCCATGTAACGGATGGTCAATCAGTGTGCTTACGTCAGATGACTGGAGGCAACTGGGTGATGAAGCACCCCTGGGGAAATACTGATCCGAATCATGAAGGCTCCAAAGATAAGCAAGGATAGCAAACCATCACAACCTGTTGACTCGAACCTCGACGTTGGTTAGACAAGAGGCCCGGTTACTGAGCAATGAGTGGTTGACACCCTTTTTTTTTTTTTTAATTTTAATTTATTTTTATAAACAGATCAAGAACTTACGCACAGTAGTGTTATGGCAATCCAAAGAGAGACAAGTGCATGATAAGAGATATTCAAAGGACTTCAAGGAAAAGAGTGTGGTGTGCAAAATAAAAATAAATAGATGGATAGATCATTTAATGAAGTTTATAATGCACCAAGACAATGGAAACCTTTGTGTGAAGCTGAGAGTGTAAGTTCTTAATATAGTGCAATGTCAGAGCCCAATCTAAGATCAACAAATACGTTCAGACAGTTACAGGATTGATACACCTTAACAATCCTTGCACGAGCTGGACAGATTTATAAACACAGAAATTAATTGAAATATCATAAAACATGAAAGAGGCTTTGGCATGCAATAGACTCCAAATTAATCTAGAGCACATATACCTAAAGACTTTCTAAGAGTGTCAAATCGAAGATTATCCAAGGGTTTTGCAGCAATACATTTAAGATCCAAACTTTCTAAAGCAACGGGTTCATGCACAACATTAGTGGAGGAAGACATACAATTATGATTTTCCTTTTTCCCTCCAAACTAACTTTGTCTTAGTTGACGGCAAACAATGAAAAGAAGATAGTTTGGATAAGCGGTTTACCTCTTTCATAAGATGTGAAATCTTATGTTGGATACTTACTTTTCCACCCATGCCATGAGAATTTGAACGAACAAATTCGTTTCGAAGCTTATTGCATCTCGGTCTTATGTGCCCACGAGTTCCACAAAAGTGACAAATTGGAATAAATTTCTTGACTTCATGAGAGGCAGAAGGTTCAATAGGTGAAGTGGATTTGACAAACTTTGTTTTAGACACAGCGGAAGACTTATTACTTGGTTCAAATCCCAAGCCTCGTTTGTCACCATCTCTTCGTCCCATGCTAATCATCTTGTCAATTTTTTCTGCACCAATGGTTAAAGAAACAATCCTTTCTTTTGAATTTTTAAGTTCAAGTTCAAGGGCTTTGTTGTCAGAAGTTAGAGAAGCAATTAATTTATTCTGATCAGTCAATTTTTTCTGCAAAAACATCAATTTTTCGTTCATACCTGCACTTACCTTTTCGGAATCTGCATCAGGGGATTGAAACTCGTTTGCAATCCTGCAATTTTCCAGCTTCAGCACAGCAACTTCTTTGACGAGCTCACTATTTTGTTTACTGAGCTTCTGAGATGCAGCCAACAAATCATCATATTTGTTCATGATAAACTCAATATTTATACCTTTACAATCATCATCCTCACGTGATTCATCCAAGCTAACTGTGGTTATAAGTGCAACCGTCTTTTCATCATTCTCGCATTCCGATTCACTATCACTCCAAGTAGTATGCATTGCCTTATTATTGCCATCCTTTTGTTTCTTTAAGGTGTTGGCACATTCCGAAGATATGTGTCCATAGCCTTCACATTCGAAACATTTGACCTTTTCTCTTGGATTCTTTCGTTCATTTAACCTGCGAAATTTAGATCCACCATCAGTATAGTTAACAAACCTATTTTTAGAATTTATACCTTTTGAATCTCGACTCCTTGGATCCTGATTCTTGAGAAAGTTCATGAATCGTCTTGTGAGAATCGTTAATTCCTCATCACTGCAATCTTCATTTGAATGCCCATCATCTTCTTCATTCACAACCTTGAACGCAACATTTTTGCTCTTTTTAGGAGGTAGATGTTTCATCTCATAGGTTTGTATGGACCCTATGAGTTCTTGAACTTTCAAGGTGTTCAAGTCACGGATCTCTTCAATAGCCGTGATCTTTGGTTGAAACCGTTGAGGCAAGGATCTCAAAATCTTTTTCACAACTCTATCTTCTGGAATTTTTTTCACCTAAACCTGAACAAGCATTCACAATTACACAAAGTTTAGCATAAAATTCAGAAAAAGTTTCATTCTCATCCATCATAAGTGTCTCAAACTGTAAAGTGTGCATTTGAAGCTTGGCTCCCTTGACAGTATCTGTTCCTTCATGAGTAACCTGCAAAATATCCCAAGCTTCCTTAGAAGTATCACAAGCAGATATATATTCAAATTGATCGGAAGAGACAGCAGTAAATAAAGCATTTAACCCCTTTTGATTATTAGTGCTGTGTGTGACTTCTGCAGTGGTCCACTCCTCTCTAGTTTTGAGGACTGTGGTTTCTTCATCTCCTTTTCCAATCGTCTTTGTGGGTTTAGGAAATCCATGAACCACTGTGCTCCATACACGTTCATCTAAGGACCAAAGAAACGACTTCATTTTGGCCTTCCAAGAGCCATAGTTGTTGCCATCGAAATATGGTGGATGTGCAATTGAGCCCGAGGCACGATCCATCCTAAGGTATGTTAGATCTTGCTGAGTATGTCCAGCAACCTGCTCTGATGCCAATTGAAAATACCTGCAGGATGACTCAAAATGCCTAGAGGAGGGTGAATAGGCCAATTTAAGATTCTAATCAAATAAATAAAAATAAACTTTTGGTAGCAGGATTGATATGGCTTATCAATCCTGTAACGTGCTGGGCATAAAATAAAAGAACACGCAGAGAATTATTTTACGTGGTAAAACCCCACCTCTGGGGAAAATCCACGGGACTCCTCAGTCCAACACAAATCCACTATAGAACGATGATTACAAGAAGTACTCACACACTTATCCTAGACACATTCTAGATAATGTTTACCGACTTCTTCGTAACTCAACTTCTGTCACGGGATGATCTTCGACACTCCTTATGTTGAACGCAATACTGGCCACGATTGCTTCAAGCTCACCGGAGGAAAACCGCCACCACGGTCTTGGTGCCTCAACCGTATGAGTCACCGACATGCATATGAATGCAATATGAATGATTAAAGTGTTTGATAAATCACCAAGTAAACATTGAACACTTGATGATTTATCTCAAATATACGCACAACAGCTTTTCTTAGAATTCTATATGCTCAGAACAAATATCTCAAAAGCTGTACAAACAAAAGAATGGCACATGATCTTTTATACAAGACTTGTTCTCTCTCATGGGAGAGAAACCCAATAGGCCACGAATATTAAACTTCCTATTGCACCACAACCTATCATCAATAAGAGATTTGATTCACCTTGGACTCAAAGTAATGACGCCTCTCTTTAAACCAAATTAACTAAGAGGTAAGCAACGTGCAAAGTCACAATAGGAAAAGATAATATTTTAACTTCAATTAAAATAGAGTTGAACTAGGAAAGTAATCTCAAGAGATAAAATCTAATCTTATTAAAAATAAGATTAACATAAAAATACTTGAGTGAAAATAACTCCAACTAGGAATCCTATAATGAATGCATGATTATGTCATGATTTACCTGAAATCAGATTCCTCATATCGGTCAAGTCATGCTTTGGAAACCTGGGATTGAATGTGTTGCGCCAAAACGTCTAGTAAACGATATTCACACACTAACTCCCAACCTATGCTAGAGTCTAGGAAATGACAATACAAATTTCATACTAACAGGGAAGGTGAGAGACATGAGGGAGGGTAAGATCAACCAATATCTCCAATTTTTTTTCATTTTTTGTTTCCTCTGTTTATTTTAGATCCTAAAAGAACCCATTTGGTGGGCTGGATAAAAACACTGAATTGGATCGACAATCCTACTCCTGTGTTTGGTGGCCCAAATCTTCTTGGATTAGATTACTTATAATCCAATTAGCTTCAATTCTAGCGCAATTTCGATGAACTACAGTAAACCCCCCAAATTATGGGGGGTCATTACAAACTCATACCCAATATTTATTGACTAGTTTGACTAGTAGACAAACTTCACGAAACCTTTCAAAATACACCTTTGTTAGTGAATCCATCAGTTTTTCCGTTAAATGCTTACGTGTCAAATATATATCAATTTTTTTATTTTTAATGGACGCCACGTGGACTAAAAAACTAATAATAAAATCTTGATTTCTTAAATTATTTAAAAACCTTAAAATAATATATATAATATTAAAAAATTAAAAAATTATTTAAAAAAATTAAAACAAACAAAACAAGCCCACCCCAGTCCCATGACTTCTCCTTAGCCCCACACCATTCCTCTTATCCTAGCCATTGTCAGACCTACAGAGGCGCAAGAAGGTGCAGATGTACCTCCCCTCGTCGAAAAGAGCTTTGGAGGTGGTGGAATTTGCCCCTCAGCTTTGCCATGGAAGTGCCCACAATCGACTTGAGGAAATGCCACAGCAAAACTCCTTTTTGTTTTCTGTGTTGTTATGTTGCAGGGCTGTTGCACACAGCACTAGCCTATTTTTTTTTTTTTTTTTTTTTTTTTTTTTTTTTTTTTTTTTTAAAGGCCAAATTGAAGTAAATTTTGAACTAGGGTAAAAAAAAAAAGAAAAAAGAAAGAAAGATAAAGCCTTATATTCTAGCGCAATTTGGATGAACTACAGTAAACCCTCCCAATTGTGGGGGACATTACAAACTCATACCCAATATTTATTGACCAGTTTTATGAGTACACAAACTTCACGGAACCTTTCAAAAAACACCCTCCATTAGTGAATCTGTCAGTTCTTCCATTAAATGCTTACATGTCAAATATATGTCAGATTTTTATTTTATGTGGACACCACGTGGGCTAAAAAACTAATAAAAAAATCTTGATTTCTCAAATGATTTAAAAACCATAAAATCAAATATATAAAATAATAAAATAATTTAAAATTTAAAACAAATTTAAAACAAAACCCACCCACCCGTCCCTCAACTTCTCCCTCAACCCCACACCATTCCTCTTCATCCCAACTCTTTTTCTCTCTCTTCCTTTCTCTCTCCCCATCTCTTTCCCTCTCTCTCCTATGCTGCAAACACAGAACCCAGTCATCTCTTTCTCTCTCTCGTCCTTTCTCTCTATGCGTCTTTTTCCCTCTCTCTCCATCAATGCACACACATAAAAGAACCCAACCGCCATAGTTGGACTGAACCATCCAAATTCAAAGAGAAACAAATCAAAATTCAATCCTAACAGAATTCAAAAAGCAAAATTAATTAAATCCAAAATCATATGAATACAAGATCTTTTGCATGGCCACCTTCAATGCTTGTTCTTCCATTGCATGGCCATTCATCCGTTGTTCTTGTACTAGAAGACTGCTTTGTAGCTCATCAATAGAGAGATAATCAAGATCTTTTGATGTTTCAATCGAACACACCACATAGTCAAATTTTGATTCATTGATCTCAGAATCTTTTCAATAACAGCTACATCTTCCAACTTCTCTCCATTGATCCTCCTCTTGTTAGCCACGATTAGAGTCCTTCCAAAATACTCATCAACTAACTCTCCAACCTTCATATTGAGCATCTCAAACTCTTTGCGAAGAGCTTGAAGTTGAGCATACTTGACTTTTGTCGTGCCTTGATATTTCTTCTTCATTGAATCTCATATATCCTTCGATGTATCTTTCTTCAAGATGGTCTTCAATATAGCTCTATCAATGGCCTAAAAGAGATAGTTCTTGGTCTTCAAATCTTTGAGCTTCTGATCCTCTAGGGCTTTTAATTAAGCTTCTGTCAACTTTGCACCCTCTGCATACTGCACGATTCCATTCTCCACTAGGCCCCAATATTCCTTGGACCTCAAGAAGTTTTCCATCAACATGCTCCAGTGGTCATAATGACCATCGAAGCGTGGAATTGCTAATTGCATGAAGCTACTTCCTTCTCCTGCCAAAATTCTTGTTGCTACAAGCTTCCTATGCTCTCTCTACCCCAGTTGGGGCTCTGATACAAATTGTTGGTATTAAACTAAGTTTTGTTTGAGAATATGATTGAGAAGAATAAGTTTTCTCACAGTATTTATTCAATATAAAAGAACTAGGCTATATAGCCTTTACATGAACTGAAACCAACGGAAAAAGCTGAAGCATTATCCCATGAATAACAAGTCTTAATCTCATGGGATACTGGCTAGAGAAACAACCAAAGATAAACCTCTACAACTAGGAAATATTCAAACAACTCAAAAATAAACAACTAATAATAATAACTTCACAGTTAACGTCAATATCCCTCATATAAGAACAAGTTAACAGGAAGAGTCACTGATGACCCATTTATGGGTTAATTCTTCATCAACTTTGTGAAGAAGCAACATGACTGCTTTTCAAAAAATCTTGCAGAAATGGCAATGGTTGTCGTCAATGATGGTAAAAACTGAGAAGGTGGGTACGACAAATTTCTCATACAATATTTAACGAGTATAATACTTGAAATGTGTGTGTTATGGAAAGTGATACGTGTATTAAACAAGAAAAATACGTACATACGCGTACAATATGTGTATTATACATTTTATTTTATTTTTTAAAAAAAAATATTGTATTTTACCAAGTCCTTAAGCAATGTCCAGAAAACACATGTATTATTGAAAAATACATACTTACATGTATAATACGAGTATAAATCGGGGAAAATGCAAATTCTTTATAGTGTAATGACTATGAAAAAGGAAAAAAAATAAAAGGGGATAAATAATATATTTAAACAGTATAGCCATGCGGCTATACTACTTATTTAAGAAATAAATAATAACAAGATGTATAGCCGTGCGGCTGTACTAGTTATTGAAAACAAATTAAAAATATAAACCGGTATAGCCGCACGGCTATACGATTCATTTAAGAAAAAAGAGTATAGCCGTGCGGCAGTACTATTTATCTTTAAAAATTAAAATAAAAACGAGTATAGCCGCCCGGCTATGCTAATTATTGAAAGAAAAAAGGAGTATAGCCGCCCGGTAATACCGATGGAATAATATATTTAAACGGTATAGCCATGCGGCTATACTTGTTTTTAAGAAATAAAAAGGAGTCCAGCCGAGCGGCTATACTAATTATTTAAAATAATAAATGAAAAACCAGTATTACCGCGCAGATATACTAATTATTAAAATTAAATTTAAAAAAGTAGTACAGCCGCACGGCTATACGATTTAAATATTTTAAATATGTTATTTAACGAGTATAATACTTGAATTTTGCTTATGTTATGGAAAGTAATATGTGTATAAACATGAAAAATATGTACATATGTGTACAATACCTGTATTGTACGTTTGCTTTTTTTATAAAAATATATATATGTATTTTACTGAGTGCTTAAGCAATATACGGAAAACGGAATTATTATTGAAAAATACATATTTACATGTATAATATGAGTATAAATTGGGAAAATGCTAATTCTTTATACGTGTAATAACTTTGAAAAATGAAAAAAAAATCAAAAGAGGATAAATAATATATTTAAACCGTAAAAATAAAAAAGAGTATAACTGCGTGGCTGTAATATTTATTTCAAAAAATTAAATTTTTTTAAAAAAGTATAGCGGGTGACTATACTATTTATTTTAAGAAAAAGGAGTATAGCCGTCCGGCTATACGAATTATTAAAATGAAAAAGGAGTATAGCCGGTCGGCTATACTGGTGGAATAATATATTTAAATGGTATAGCCGCATGGCGATACTATTTATTTAATCTTTAATTTTTCCTTTCCTCTGTTTATTTCGGATCCTAAACAAACACGTTTGGTGGTCTGGATAAAAACATTGTATTGAATCCACAATCCTACTCCTTTGTATGGTGCCCCAAATCATCTTGAATTGGATTTCAGCCTCAATTCTAGCGGGATTACGAATCCCACCAAAAAGCTGAAATTTTTTTTCTTATTCGTTAGGGAGGGGGAGTATTAAATTGGATTGTCTCGAGATCGTCTCCTACGTGAATCAAATTCGAGTGAACTTTGGAAGGAGGGAAGAGTTGACCACTTTTCTACTGTTGTGATATCCCATATGCATTAACTTGGATAAGCTAGTTCCTCGCTTGGCGGATCCTCCTTGGTCTGTTGTTTTGGATGCCCTTTTTGTCTTTCCAGCCACTTTTTTGACTGGTTGTTTTGGAGAAGCATGAATTTATAGTTTTGTAATTTTGATTTTATTAGAAAGTATATTTTTTCTATTCGACAAAAAAAAAATTATTTCATATCTATTTTATTGAAATATTATTGCGGTTATTCTTTAGATAAAAAATTATCAAATAGTAAAACATTTTCTTGCATCCTGGTCTTGGTAATTAAATACTTGTAAAAGCTTTTTTATATTTAATTCAACATTTCAAACAAACTTAGTGTTTCCCTCTTTTCGGCCTAGGCGGCCAACAGAATGAACTTTTGGTCATTCTTCTTTTTTGAGTTTGGGGCGTGCCACCACCAAATCACGAATTTGGCTTGGATGGAATGTGAGTGTATGTTGCGTCCGAGATTTGACTTTAATCAAACGATTGTTCGGCCGAGCAAGGAACCTCTTCACGGCCTAGGTTCTTTCACTACATCGAGGTCAAGGCTTTATGTGAGCAACCAAATTATATGAAGTGGTTTGAGATGAAGATTGAAGGTGAAACGTAATGAAACGAAGAACAAGTGCGTAAAGTAAAGGTGCTTAAACTTAAATATAATTTAAAGATAAATGCGTAAAATAAATGACGTAAAGATGAGAATTAAAGTGCGATAAAATAGATCAAAGTGATAAATAAACAAGAACGAAATAAGAACAATAAGAACGGTAAACTAAATTAAACTTGAATTTAAACTTAATGAAAATTCAATAACAATGAAAAAGAAAGTGATTGAAATAAACTTGAATTTAAATGACAAGGTAATATAAATTGCAAGAATTTAAACTTACACTAAGGAAAGGAAGAACTTGCTACAACAGGTGCTTGAAAAGTAAAATCCTTAGTCTAGGAAAAGAAAAGTGTGAGATGAAAAGTAGGTTTGTTTGTCTAATGTTGTGTGTCTTTTGCCTTTGTTGAGCAAGGTTTATATAGGGCATTCGTCAACTCATGGGCTGGCCATTGAATGGCCAAAGGTCAACTCTTTTAAAACTTCTTTCCTTCCGAGGCCTCCCTAAATTCGTGAGATTGCATTGATGGAGATATTTTGACATGCTTGATTCTTCCTTGCTTTGGGACTTTTTGAATTATTATCAAACCTCCTTGATTTCTTTCCTTGTGAGGCCTCCATCACGTGCACATAATCCTCCAAAAATTCTGGGCTTGAATCGGTGGCTTGGACTTGGACTTCCAAGCTCTCTTGAATGGCCACCCATATAATATGTATTACATTTCATATATTCAATATATATAAGCATAAATTAGGATGAGGAATTAAACTTTCCAGCCTGGGCGCTCATGCACATTCACTTATTTATATATATACTTATATATATGAATAATGCTACTCTTACCACATTTGTATATCACATCTTTATATCATCTTATGAGGCAGCTGAGGTGGACAGCCACATCAATTAAATTATTTAATATTTTCTTTTCTTTTATGATTTATTCCAATATTTGTTTTTCTAATTGTCTTAATTAAAATACACTTCATTGATTTAATTGATGTGGCATATAATATGGACATGCCACATCATGTAGTATAGAAATGTGGGATAAATGTGGTAAGTGTAGCATAGTCTATATATATATATATATATATATTCCACCACCACCCCTAAACACATAGTAAGTAATAACAAGAAAATTTGCAACAATGGAAAGGCATCTGCAATTCATAAAGCACGAATCCAAGCATCATGTCTAGCATGGAAAGGTTATTAGCTAGTTCGTTTTATTTCAAGGAAGGTTGCTATTTCTATTTCAATAGTTATTTTCTTTTTCTTTCTTTTTTCTTTTTTTTTTACAAACAAAAGCTGGGTGATTGGGATGTATGTTAAAATTCCACAAGACAAATGCCCAATTTTCTATATTTTATTTTATTTTATATGAATGATTATGCATGAAGTAAAATATTGGAACCTCTCTCTCTCTCTCTCTCTCTCTCTCTCTCTCTCTCGGCCAAAGTTAGGAGGGGGGTGGAGGTTTTCTCAAACACACACTGATGTCGTGAGGGTTCGAACTCCCTAGTCTACAAGTCAATGTCTTTTTCCAGTGAGTTAGGCCCTGTTAGCAAGGATTGTCTCTTTTAACTAATCGGAAAGTCAATATATTTTTCAAAATATAAAGATTTATAAAGGCATTCAACTCTTGCTATCACAATCATGGGATTTCAGATGTATGTGCAACATAGCAGCTTTGAGTGATTTAAAAAATAAATAAGGTCGAATTCTTATATTTTGTTTTGTTTTTTAAAAAGGGGTCCAATAATTCAAATTCTTATTGTGACACACGAAAAAATAGAAGGAAAAAAATATCTACAAATGCTAACTTTTATTAAAACCCTTTGCGGTTATCAGTGCCCGCCCAATGTACCGATTGAAAATCAGAATTTTTTTTTCTTGCCAGGCAGAATTACTGCTTGCATGGTGATATAACCATTATTTCGTACATTTTTATTATCTTTCTTTTAGATTCTTGCTATGTTCTTGAGTGAGTTTAGTCCATTTTTACTTAGTTTTGTGTTTTACTAGGTTTGAAGAGTAAAGATGGAAAAGCAAGCAAAATGAGCAATTTTGGGATTGAAATATGATGTGCAATCCTGTGAGCAGAATGTACTGTGCAGAACAGTCAACTTGACAGAATATACTGTACTTCCTCATGGCGAACCAGCAGTTGAGCCTTATATCTTTGGAAAGATACGGATGTTAGCTTTCTATAGTATTTTACGGTTCGTGATTCAGATGTGTGTGGAGAGAGTTGTGGCCATTTTAGTACAGACAGTTCTGGCAGAATGTGATCTGCGGGTTTTGCAAAATAATCCTTTTGAAGTTCAATCCTTGGAGTTTAATTTGTATCAATTACATTTGGGAAGTGTCTACAAGGATGCAAGATTATTTTCTAAGGTAGTAGGATTTTGGATGCCAACTCATCAAAGACAATTGAAGCTAAACTAGGAAATCATAGGTTACCAAATCAAAAGAGGATTTGTTCCTTATTTAAAGAAGACCAGAAATTAGGGTTCTTTTTTGTTGGAGTTGAAGGAGAGTCAAAGAGCCACTGCCATCGTCAATTTCTCGAGCATCGTCACAATCCATAAATTTTATTTTATGTTTACTAGTTTTTCAATTATGTTTTCTTTGAACATGAGTAACTAAATATTCTCTAGGGCAAGGATGAAGCCCGAGCATGGATAGTTATGATTTTAATGTTATTTAATGGATTCTAAGTTTCTTTGAAATGAATGTTTAATCACTATTTTAATTGTGCTATTTGTTTAAGTTCTTTGACTGATCATCTTAGGGCTTTGCATCTAGTAAATTGGAAGATAAATTTGAGGCAGAACTCGCAATATAATTCAATTAGCTTCTTGTGATTAAGTGTGGTGAATTACATTATTGCTTGATGAAGAACAATGGTTTGCTTGGTTCTCTCGTTTTCTAGAACTTAATGAATCCAACTTGTTAAATTTATGCATTAACCAAGATAGATTGTAGGATGGGGTATATGATCTTTGTCTGAACTAGAAAAGAATCTTACACTTAAGGAAAACTATGGTCTGAGTGCCTGAAAAGGACTTAGATACGGGAATTATAATCTAAAGATTCGAAAGAATCTATTGAATGCATTGAAATCTAACTTGGATTGCTTGTGGTTGATTCCGAAACCCTAGACCTTCATCATGGTTTTTCAACCTTAAAATTAAACCTTTTTATTCTTAATTATTTTTATTAATTTCTTGTTTGTTTCATAAACTTTCACAACAACAATCTCTACAAATTTACTTGCGTATCAGTTAGATTTAATTTAGGTATTCGAATATTTGATTAATTTGGAATCCTCTTGGGAACGATACTTGGACTTGTCAAACGCTATACTACATCATTCTTGTGCACTTGCAAGGATAGACCAAGTTTTTGGCACCGTTGCAGGGGATTCCTAAATTAATTTAAAATTTGAATTCCTAATTTATGTCTAGTTGAGTTTATTTTGTGTCTTTTTTTTTATATGTACATCTTTTTTCCTGTTTTGTTATAAATAAAAAAACAAAAGAAGTCTCCAGCCAACCAAAAAGACAAACCAGCGGATAAAAAAAAAAGGGAAAGCACAAGTCAAAGATGCTACAGCCAAAGCAAAAAGGGTTTTGGTCTTCCAGAAACAGGCACGCTATCTCAATTGGAGAGTTCCAAACCCAATTGATTTGGGCTTTTGTCTTCCAGCCTACTTCAAGCAAATCCTTCAGGCACTCCAATTGGAGAATTCCAATTCCTTCACGCAGCTGCCCCACCACCAAGTGGAAACTCCTTTCTCCAATTGGGGAAGTGCAAACCCATCAACCAACCACCACAACCAAGGCTTTTAAGGGATTACACTGCACCAGTAGAGTACAATGCACCGTAGTGCATCGTCTTGACAACAATCACACAGCGTTTCGAAATTCGCCTAACAACTATCCAACTTCTACCTACTTATCATGGGAAGGAGAAGGAAAATCTCTACCATCATCTCAAGACATTATTCACCATATGCTCAACATTCAATTATGGCGGTGTTAGTAAAGAGCAAATTCGACTCCGATTGTTCCCATTTTCTCTAAGGGATGAAGCGACAAACTGGTTAGACTCTCTTCCAGAAGCATCTATAAATTCTTGGACTGATTTATCTAAGAAATTTCTTTCAAAAATTTTCCCTGCTCATAAAACCAATGCTTTGATAGCAACTATTATGAGTTTTTGTCAACAAGAGCGTGAACAATTTTATGAATGTTGGGAGCGATATAAGGATTTGTTTCTTCACTGTCCTCATCATGGATTCGACATATGGCAAAAAGTTCACTATTTTATAGAGGGTTGAACCCGCAAAGTAAGAGCATGGTAGATTCAACAGTTGGTGGAAGCTTAATGGACAAGACTGCAGATAAAGCTCTCAGCGCATTTGAGACAATTTGTGAGAAACTCTGAGCATTGGGACTTTCCTACAAAAGATTCAAGAGTTATACCTACATCATTGACACAGAAATGAGGCATCTATGAAGTTAGTGCAAGCACGGCTTTAGAAGCACAAGTTACAGCTCTCACAAAACTTCTCACCCCACTAGTACAGAAGGTTAACTGCACAACCATGTAATTTATGTGCTAGCATCGCCCACGATACTGCAAATTGCCCATCGAATCCTATCCTGTAAGATGTGCAAGAGGTCAATGTGTTAAATGGAAGGTCCTGAAATGATTCTTACTCCAATACGTACAACCTGGGGTGGAAACAACACCCAAACTTCTCTTAAAGCAATTCACATAATACAATGGGACCCACAAATTCATTAGGGTCATATCAACAGCCCTATTAAGCTCCTCCACTGAAACAAGAAGATCCTTCTATCAAAGAGATACTATCTCAACTCTTAAAGAAATCAGAAAGATATGAACAAGAGGTTGCATCACTCAAACAAAGTCAATCAGCGTTGGAAAAAAGTCAATCCAAATTTGAGGTTCAATTGGGACAAATAGCTACTACTCTAAACAGATTGGAGAAAGCACAAGGTCAATTTTCAAACCAAACAAAAGCTAATCCTAGGAATCATGAGCAGGTTCAAGCTATTACCACTTTGAGAAGTGGAAAAGTGATTGTTAATAAGATTGGAAATCCAGAGATCGATAATAAAGAGGAAGATGAAGGCATGACAGAAACAAGGCAACGGCTTGACATGAAATTTGGAGGCTCTTTGAAATTTGAAAGTGACACCACTCCTGTTGACAAAGTTACCGAATCTTTGCAACATGCTCCTCATACTCCAAACACACCAACTCACGATCCTCTTCCTTTCCCTCAACGTGACAAACATGCCAGAAAAGAGAAAAATAAGGGAGACATTATGGAGCAATTTAAGAATGTGCAAATTAATATTCCTTTGCTAGACAAAATCAAACAAATCCCTTCCTATCCAAATTTTTAAAAGGATATTTGCACCCAAAAAAAGGAGGTTTGAAGAGTATGAACAAGTGATGTTATCAAAAAATGTGAGTGCTATGCTTCAAAGAAAGTTGCCACCCAAGCTTCAGGATCCTGGAAGCTTTACAATCCCGTGCACCATTGGAAAAAGAAAATTTGACAAAGCATTGCTTGATTTGGGAGCAAGTGTGAACTTAATGCCCTACTCTTTATATGAAAAACTTGGGTTGGGGAGCTAAAGTATGTCGCTATCTCTTTACAATTCACCGATCGTTCTGTGAAGTACCCAAGAGGCATTGTTGAAGATGTACTTATCCATGTTGATCAACTTATCCTCCCTGCTGACTTCATCATTTGGATATGGAGGAAGCTGAAATTTTGGGTCGTGAACTCCCTCTCATCCTTTGTAGACCCTTCATGACTACTGCATGATGAAAATTGATGTTAAAAACAGGTTTACTGACCATGAAGGTGCAAGATACTACTATAAATTTTCAGGTCTTTGAAGATTTGAAAAGACCCTTGGATCCTTATGATTGTTTTCACGTCAAAGTTGTGGATCAAATTATAGAGAAGACATTTATTGAAGCAAGCCTCACAAATCCTATAGAGAATATTGATACTTTGACTGCACCCAAAACTATTGAGGTGATGTACCTCGATGATCCCCCAAATATGTGAAGATCGCTGAGTCTTGCTGAAGACTTTAAATTAAGCACTTCTTGGGAGGCAACCCATGTTTTGGATTCATGATGATGATGAGAGGATCTTGGCGTTAAATTTGTAGCACTTCCTACTCAGATTATATGCCCAGGGAGCTCTAATCTTTACTCTTTACTCTATATTTTATTGTTTTAATTCTTTTCTCCTTTGCTTGATTCATTGCATGCCTTTTTTTTTCTTTTTTTTTCCATTGAGGACAATGTTTCATTTAAGTTTTGGGGGAATGATTTGCTTTATTGCTTGTTTTTTGCGTTTGCAAATTTTTTATATATGAAAACGTAAGGTTACTTTTGCTTAAAACTGTTTTAATTGGCAACTGTTCTGACAAATTGGTCTGCATTGTGTTCGTTTTTTTTCGTGCTAAATCTAACCACATAAAGAACTTTGAAATCGAACCAGTGGTTTGAAAGTTATGAGCTAAAATCTGAACAGAGGTCGAACTGCCAAAAACTGCATTTTGAAACTCTTTGTTTTCTTGGTTTGTTTGAGTCTTATTTTATTTCTTTTGTGTTTTTATGTAGTTCAGTAGTTAAGTTGTTGTTTTTAAAGTCACAAAACCCATACAAAATTTTAATAAATAAAAAAATTCTACAAAAAAATCCAAAAAGATCTTTTTTTTCTTGAGTCTCATTTTAGTTAAGCTTTCCACAAGTCAATGATAACACTTGAATTCTACTTGTTATATAGCTTTTGAGGATTGGTAATCATTATGTGAAATTCAAGTGTGATTCTATAGTTAACTTTTTGTTACATTATTATTCTCATATTTTTCAATGCACGGCCAATTTAATGCAATTTGCTTTTGACTTAGAGAATTATATGTGGATTTTAGTGTAAGACTTGTATAACCCTTGTGAGTTTTTGAGCCTCATGCATATTCTTTTCTTGAGAGTTATATATTCTTTTCATGAGTGCATTATCATCTACTAGAACTTGCTTCAATATCTTTCAAGGCTTGTATTAATTCACATGATTCTATCTAGGAAGTGATTAAGGCGCCTAGGATCACCACCATGGCCAAACAAGCTTTTGTCCCTATTACATTATCCCTTGATAGCCCCCTTGAGCCTAAATAAGTCTTTTCTTTCATGAACCACATTATCCTTAACCATAAACTTAAACACTTCATCCTACCTTGTTCTATGAAAATTGGTGGAGCTTTAAGTTTGAGGGGAATGCACCTTACCTTGTGAGTACCAAAGTTGAAATGAAAAAAAAAAAAAAAAAAAAAAAAAAAAGAAAAAGAAAAGTTTGAGGTTGGTTGCTTGTTTTTATAAAAAAATAAATATAAAAAAATAAATAATAATAATAATAAGGAATTAAAGAAAGGAAAAAAAAATTTGTTTTGCTATCTCAATGTTGTGAAAAAAAAATGAAAAAAAAAAAGAGAGAAGCAAAGATGAGTTTGAGGTTGGTGCTTGTTTTTATAAAAAATTAAAAAATTTTAAAATAAAAAATAATAATAAGGAATGAAAAGAAAGGAAAAAAAAAATTGTTTGCTATCTCAATGTTGTCAAGATTGAAGAAGTTGAGAAAAGATGTTGATCAAAATGAAGTTGAAGCCCAACAATGAAATTTGGTTTCCAATGAAGTGCATAATTGGTGATACCACAATAGATACGAGAGAATTTGCAATCCTTCATGGTCATCACGTGCTCTACTAATTCTCATAGAATACTTTTGTTTTCCATACCCTTTATTTCTTTTAAACCTTAACCCATAACCCCATTACAACCGTAATTTAAGACCTTTTGATCCTAGAAATTGTGTGAATTTAATTTGTGGAGATGTGATATAAAGAGCAAGCTTATAGGATTTGATTTTGTTTTCATACATTCATTTTTCTTGAGTGAAACACTTAACCCACACTTTGAGCGTTTTCTTTGTGAGCGATATTCTTGGTGAGATTTGCAGTTGAAACTTTGATTTGCATATACATATCTGGGTTGAGTGAGTTGTATTGATATTAGCTATTTCACACACATACACTTGAGAATGTTATGTACGGTTTTGTTAACTTTTGAATCATGCTTGTGGTTTATATGATGGTTAGTTGATTCTTTAGAGTTATATACCTTGCGCGATTTATTGAGACTAATATGTGGAGGTGTAACATTCTTTTGAGTCTTTGTTTTGTTTTGTTTTGCTTGAGGGCAAGCAAAGTCTAAGTTTGGGGGTATTTGATATAACCATTATTTCGTACATTTTTATTATCTTTCTCTAGATTCTTATTATGTTCTTGAGTGAGTTTAGTCCATTTTACCTTAGTTTTGTGTTTTACTTGGTTTGAAGAGTAAAGATGGAAAAGCAAGCAAAAGGAGCAATTTTGGGATTGAAATATGATGTGCAATCTGTGAGCAGAATGTGCTGTGCAGAACAGTCAACTTGACAGAATATACTGTACTTCCTAATAGCGAACCGATGTTGAGCCTTATATCGTTGGAAAGACACGGACGTTAGCTTTCTGTAGAATTTTACGGTTCGTGATTCAGATGTGTGTGGAGAGAGTTGTGGTCATTTTAGTACAGACAGGTCTGGCAGAATGTGTTTTGCGGGTTTTGCAAAATAATCCTTTTGAAGTTCAATCCTTGGAGTTTAATTTGTGTCAGTTACATTACAAGGATGCAAGGTTATTTTCTAAGGTCTAATCCTATATTTAGTAGGATTTTGGATGCCAACTCATCAAAGACAATTGAAGCCAAACTAGGAAAGCATAAGTTACCAAGTCAAAAGAGGATTTGTTCTTTATTTAAAGAAGACTAGAATTAGGGTTCTTTTATGCTGGAGTTGAAGGAGAGTCAAAGAGCCACTGTCATCATCAAGTTCTCGAGCATAGTTCCCAATTCATAAGTTTATTTTATGTTTTCTAGTTTATTAATTATGTTTTCCTTCGAAACATGAGTAACTAAATTATTCTCTAGGGTGAGGATGACGCCCGAGCATGGACAGTTATGATTTTTAATGTTATTTAATAGATTCTAAGTTTCTTTTAGATGAGCTATTTTAATTGTGCTATTTGTTTAGTTCTTTGACTGATCACCTTAGGGCTTTGCATCTAGTAAATTGGAAGATGAATTTGAGGCAGAACTCGCAATATAATTCAATTAGCTTCTTATGATTAAGTGTGGTGAATTACATTATTGCTGACGAAGAATAATGGTTTGCTTGGTTCTCTCATTTTCTAGAACGTAATGAATCCAACTTGTTAAATTGCAGGATTGGGTATATGATCTTTGTCTGAACTAGAAAAGAATCTTACACTTAAGGAAAATTATGGTCTAAGTGCTTGAAAAGGGACTTAGATACGGGAATTATCATCTAAAGAATCGAAAGATACGGGAAAGTGCTTGAAATCTAACTTGGATTGCTTGTGGTTGATTCCGAAACTCTAGACCTTCATCATTGTTTTTCAACCTTAAAATTCAACCTTTTTATTCTAATTGTTTTTATTAATTTCTTGTTTGTTTCATAAACTCCACAACAACAATCTCTACAAATTTACTTGCGTATCAGTTAGATTTAATTTAGGTATTCTAATATTAGATTAATTTGGAATCCTCTTGAGAACGATACTTGGACTTGTCAAACGTTATACTACATCATTCTTGTGCACTTGCAAGGACAGACCAACAGCTTAATGCACACGGTAAAAGCTGCATTTACAAAAAGAGCTACCAACAATCCTTTGCACATTTTTGATAATTGATTCACACACTGTTTGTTCATTTCTATAAGCTTTGATTTTGTGCCATAGTTGTAGTAGAAAATAGGATGTTTCTTTTTTATGATTTATAATAAAAATCGGATTGAAATCTCATCATCTCAAGTCCTGAAAATTCCCAAATTTCATAATAGTGGAGAAATTATACAGTGGTACTGTACTACCACGTCACAATTTGACTAGCACTGTATAAGAGGAATATGAAAATCCGGAGGCATCGACAACAACACTAATCATCAAATCAGCGAACATATCCGCGAAGTTTCCTCATCTAACGTCAATATCCCCCATATAAAAACAAGTTAACAGAGAGAGTCACTGATGACCCATTTTTGGGTTAATTCTTCATCGGCTTTGTGAAGAAGCAACATGACTGCATTTCAAAAATCTTGCAGACATGGCAGTGGTTGTGTCGTCGATGATGGTAAAACTGGGAAGGGGGTACGAGAAGTTCTCAGACAGTGAGGTTAACACCAACTAACGTACTTCTCTCTATTGTAGTTGTTGCCCATATGTCATTATCTCATTCGTCTGTAATACCATGTATCATGCCGCAGATA